CTTGCTCTAAGGAGCCATGGTGATGCAGTAGTTAAAGTGTTTAGCTGCTAACAAAAGGTCCAGTAGTCTGAACCCACCAGTCCATCAATGGAAGGATAATGTAGCAGTCTGCTTCCATAAAGAAGACAGTCTTGGAAACCCCAGGGTACAGCTTTGCTCTGTCCTACTAATAGTGAGGTTGGCCCAGGACCGGGCAGTGTTTTGTTCTGAAGTGTGTAAGTCACTATGAGTCAGTACCGACTCGATGACACCTAACAACAACAACAACAACCGACTACTATGAGTCAGAATAGGCTCAATGGTAGTGCTTTGGTTTGTCTCAAAAGCGTGTTCTAAACTTTGTCAAATGTCTTAAAAAAATCAAGATGACAAACAAGACATTCTTCCATGGGTCAAAGTACAAAAAGTTGTTTACAAAACACAATAATTAAGTTTCCTAATTGACATTAATATTTAACTAAAGAAAATAATTCCTGGGAACCAGAGAGGTGGTTTTGTGGGAACTGGATGGTAAGGGACAAAGGAAACTAATGAACTCATTAAAAAACTATGAAACTAAAATCTAGTTAAACGAATCATAAACTTTTCAAGAGACTGGCTTAAAATTTTTTTTAAATGTTTGTTTTTATTTATTTTAAATGGTTTTTATAACTCAAAACTATTTTTTAAATATTTTAAAAAATAAAGTCTCCATAGTAAATAACTAAATAAAAGTAATAACTATTTAATAACATTGGAGATATGCAGCAATGAACAAAGTGCAGGCACAAAAAAGGGAAAGGAAGGCCAAGTCTTGGCTTTACCAGTTACTGGATATTTTATTTTAGGCAAACAATCTCCAAGGTGCTATGAACATCACTTTTTAAAATTTTCAGTCCTTACACAAGAATGAGAAGAAGTAACTATTTTGCTGTGCTGTTTCAAGAATGAAAAAAAACAAACTTAAGACCGTGTTGTTGTCAAGTGCCATCCAGTCAGTCCTGACTCATGGCGACCCTGTAAAGGGTTTCCAAAGAGTGGCTGGTGAATCTGAACCACCAACCTTGTGGTTAAAAGCGACCCTGCAGTCCACTGCTTTATCCTGCAGCGCCACACCAGGACTCCATCTTTAAGATCATACAAACTGTAAACTATGGTATAAATGATGTATTACTACTACAAACAGTCTGCCATCCAAGTGAGTTCGCTCATAGCAACTCTGTATAGGGTTTCGGAGGCTATAAATTTTTTACAGGAGCAAAAAGCTTCATTTTTCTACCGAGAAGTTGTTGGCCGGCTTGTTAGTGGCTGGTAGTTTTGAGCTGAACTTGTGGTTTGCAGCTAGTGCTTATCCTACAGTGTCACCAGGGCCCATTAAAGTATTACCAATTAAGTTGCTAAGTGTCGAGTCAGTTCTGACTCATAGGGATCCTGTCAAGGGTTTCCAATGAGTGGCTGGTGGGTTTGAATCGCAGTCCAATGTTTATCCTATAGAACCACACCAGGGCTCCAAGGTATTACCATAAAAGTTAGGAATTGTTTTATAATCCATTTGAATTCCAATTACTATACTCCATCCCTCCCCCCTCACTCTTTCAAGCCTTACTATTTATTATTAGTTGACAGGATTTCACTTTTACAGAACAAACACACTGTGAGGTTATAGAACCAAACCAAACGCACCCCATCAAGTCAATTCCAACGCAAAGAGCCCTTAGATAGGGGTTTCAAGATGGTAAATCTTTACAGAAACAAACAGTCTCATCTCTTTCTCAGAAAGTGGCTGCTGGGCTGTGGTTAGCAGCCCAATGCTTATCCTACCACCCCTCCAAGGCTCCTTTTCAAGGTTGTATTGTTAAGTGTCCTTGAGGTGCTTCTGACTCACTCATAGTGATCCTGTATAGGGTTTCTGAGGAGCAGCTGGTAAGTGTGAACTCCCGACGCTGGGGTTAGTTATCCAGTGCTTATCCTACAGAGACATAAAATCTGCTACATCGGGTAACTTTGGCAAAAAAGGGGCATGATAGCCACGCATATCTTAGTTCACAGATTGGATTCTAGATCACTGTTGCCATTAAGTGCTGTCCAGTTAGTTCTGATCCATGGCAACCCAGGATAGGGTTTCCAAGGAACAGATGGTGAGCTTGAACCACCCAACTTGTGGCTCAAACCGACCTTGCAGTTCCGCGCATTAACCCACAGTGCCATTCCCCAAATTATTAACATAGCTAGGTGAATCTGGCTTCATTTGGTATATGGCTTCAACTTCATGCTGGTTTGTTCTGCTAAACACTGCCCTGTCACGTTCTCAATGCATGTATTAGCTACCGTAGTGAGAACACCTGAATGCTGGGCCTAGTGTTGGATCAGTGAATGAGAAGCCTGAATTGGAAACAGTGCTTCTTACCTCAGGTCTCTCCAATTTATTAAATTCAAAGAGCCTTGATGGCTCAATGGTTAAGTGCTTAGCTGCCAACCAAAAGGTTGGCAGTTGGAACCCACCTCTCCGCTCTGCTGGAGAAAGCTCTGGCAATCTGTTCCTGTAAAGATTGCAGTTTGAAAACCCTAAGGGATACTATGAGACCCAAATCAGCTCACCTTCATCTAACAATAAAAGTGACAGAAAAGCAAAGATAGTAACAAAAAAGTGCAAAATAAATATGAAAATGATACAACTTTGCTTGCTGAAAGCAAAGAGGAGTTAAAAGTTACTGAGGAAGAGCAAAGACCAAAGTCTTCAGTATGGGTTGCACCTCAATATAAAGAAAATAAAAATCCTCACCACTGGACCAATAAACAACACCCATATAAATAGAAGAAACATTGAAGTCAAAGACTTCGTTTTGCTTGAATCCAACATCAACACTCATGGAAGCAGCAGTCAAAAAAAAATCAAAGGATGTATTGCATTAGGCAAATCTGCTGCCCAATACCTCTTTAAAGTGCTCAAGAGCAAAGATGTCAGTCTAAGGACTAAAGGGCACTTGACCCAAGCCATGGTATTTTTAATCGCCTCATGTGCATGGGAACATTGGACAATGAATAAAGAAGATCACAGAAGAACTGATGCATTTGAGCTATGGTGTTGTAGAATATTAAAGGTACCACGGACTTTCAGGAGAACAAACAAACAAAAAATATAACCACAATGCTCCTTAGAAGCCAAGATGTCCAGACTTCATCTCTCATACTTCGCACATATTATCAGGAGGGATCAGTCCCTAGACAGCAACATCATGCTTGGTAAAGTGGAGGGTCAGCCCAAAAGAGGAAGACCCCGCAATGAGATGGACTGGCACAGTGGCAGCGCCAATGGGCTCAAGTGTAGCAGCAATTGTAAGGATGGCACAGGTCTGGGTGGTATTTTGTTCTGTTGTACACACTACTACATTTCGGAAGGAACTTAACAGCACCTAAAAACCACAACAATCACTCTGAAACACAAAAGTAGCTGTGTTGTAGGGGATGGAATCCTGCAACCAGAAAGAGTAGCCTGTAATTGGCTGACATTGTGAAGATCAACAATCCACTCCAGCAAAATGAGCAGACTGGTGCTGCTGCCCCACATCCCTGCACAGCACGGGGCATTCTCGCAGTTCCTTGTGGCCACCATGGTGGACAGTGAGCTGCCTGGCTTGCCTTGAGCCGTGCAGAAGTCTGGGTGTACGCTCAAGACACTTATGTTTAAACTCACTTTTGTGTGGAGGCCCTAATGGGCAAGGAAGCCCCAATACAAGGGAGCTTAATGGGCAAAAGAAAGTGACTTCTCAGCCCACAAAATCACCTGACTCCAACCTCTCCACTGATCATTTGAAACTGACATGACAGTACCATGTTTTACTACAATTTCAGCTTGAATTTAAATGATGCAAAATTCTGTAATATATAAAGCAGCAGCAAAATCTAACAACTCCAGAAGAACTAAAACTGGACAAATCCATTCTCTACAGTTTCTCTTCCAGCTGTCACCTATTGTGTGTGGCACAGTACACACATCAGCAGTGTACGGATTCATTTTACAAACACGTTTGTTTTTCTAGCTGGGACTCCTTCAAGACCGCCCTATTTTACAACCAAATCAGCCTAAATTAACTCTATTGCTGTAAATTACCCTCAAGTCGGTTTCGACCCATACTGACCCTGTTTCAAGGAGCGACTGGTGAACTTAAACCGTCAGCTTGTGGTTCAAACTGAAGTCCAGCGCATTAGCCCATAGTGTCACACCAGGACTCTAAGCCTGAATTTAGTAACTGCCTAAATTTTAGTAACTTTCAACATCATTTCAATTATTCTCTTTCACCGGATGCTACCAACCTGCTTAATAGTGAAATAGAAAAATAAAATTTAAGTGTATCAACGTACTCTTACAGAAAAAAAGACAGGTAGAGTGGAAGGCGAGGAAAACCTTTGTAAGAGAGGTAACAGGTACGGGACCTCCACTGACCTGTGCCTCCTGTGGCTAACGTCATAATAACAACACTTACAAGAAAGTTTTTGACATGCGTCCCAGCGGCAGCTGGATATTCTTGCTGTACATCTCTCTCCTCTCGACCATCGCCTCGCAAATTCTAAAACTTTCCTGAGCGTGGAGGGTTCTTACTATAAAGCTAAGCAAACAACTTATATTAAGTGTTTCTCAAGAGGCGGATTCCAAACGTTTAAACTCACTTTTGGGTGGAGGCCTAAAAGCTCCGAATGTAATCCTGGCTCTCTGAATTTAGGGAAAGCAGGCTGCAACCCCAGATCCCCAGGAGAGTAAAGGGGAAAGGTGCAAATAAATGTGCAAGCTGGAGAAGGCGAGGCTTGGCCAGTGGGCCCCCCCGGGGGGAGTCTTTCTAAGTGGACAAGTGCAAGGGTCCCAGGGCTGCGTTGGGGTGGAGGCGGAGAGGAGGGTGAGCCGGGTTCACCTGAGCACGCGAAGCAGGACCGGCTGACGGGCGAGCTCCCACAGGACCCCAGCTTCCGGGAGGCGCCGCTGGTGACGCCCTGGAGAGAGCTCTGGTCTCCGTCGGGGTCCTGGCCAGGGGCGGCCGCGCGCTCCTCTCCGGAGGGCTGCTGCAGCCTCACGGCGCTCCCCGGGGCCACTTTCGGCGTCTGGGCCCAGGCGATCCGGGGTAGCAGCGGCTCCCGCTCCTCGTCGTCGTCGTCGTCCTCCCGCCGCCCGGGCTCCAAGGGCTCAGCCATGGGCTACGCTCTGTGCCTCCCGCGTGGGACCGCCTCACACAAGGGAAGTGCCCGGGTCTGACGGCAGCATCGCGGGAGGCGGGGAACTAAAGACCCGGACTCCACAGTTAGGTCCGGCGGACGCCACCTCTTAGGCGCGAGGCACTCCCCCTGCGCCAGCCCCCGGCGGTTGCCCAGTCCCGCCCAACCCAGCCCCGCCGCCCGCAGCGCCCGGCCTCGCCCCTTCGGCCAACGCGGACCTTGCGCCTGCGCGGAGGCGTCGGCGGCGGTGGACGGGGCGGGGCGAGAAGGGCTGGGCGGGGTCGCCACCTGCCGCCAGGGGGCTTGAAGGCCATGGTGTGCGCGGTGCCACTCCGTGGTAACCCTGAAGTTGGAGTTAAATTGACCTCCTCAGAAGTGCAACCTACTGCTAAATCTGCCATTTCCTCCCTCTTCGAATTCACTTATAAAGTTTACTACCGTCTATATGACTGTTAAAAACAACACTAGAGGAAGCAGCGGTCGAGAGATCAGACGACGTATTGCATTGAGCAAATCTGCTGCACAGGAACTTTTTAAAGTACTGAAGAGCAGAGATGTCAGCTTGAGGACTAAGGTGCGCCTGACCCAAGCCATGGTATTTTCAATAACCTCATATGGATGCGAAAGCTGGACAGTGAATAAGGAAGATCATAGAAGAATTGATGCCTTTGAGTTGTGGTGTTGGAGGAGAATACTGAGAGTGCCATGGACTGCCAAAAGAATCAATAGGTCTGTTTTGGAAGAAGTGCAGCCAGCGTGCTCCTTGGAGGCCAAGATGGCTAGGCTTCGTTTCTCCTACTTTGAACATATTGTCCGGAGGGAACAGTAGCTGGAGAAGGATATCATTCTGGGTAAGGTGGAGGGTCAGAGAAAAATAGGAAGACCCCCAACGAGATGGATCAGCCAGGTGGCATCATTGATGGCGTCAAGTGTGGCAGTGGTAGTAAGGTTGGCCCAGGATCAGACATTGTTTCCTTCTGCTGTGCATGGGGTCGCTATGAGTCGGTTCCGACTCGATGGCACCTGACAACAACAATATGACTCTGAGAGCCCTGGTGTGGTTCAATGGGTTAAAGCGCTGGACTGCAAGGTCAGCGGTTCAAACTCACTAGTCACTCGTCAGAAACCATAAAGGCCAGCAGTTCAAGCTTACTAGCCACTCCTTGTAACCCCTATACAGGGTCTCTATGGGTCGGAACCGACTCGACAGCACTTAACAACAACATATAACGGGGAGTCCCGGTGTAGTGCTGTGGGTTAATTGCACTGGATGGCAAAGTCGATTTGAACTCAAGGTCAGTGGTTCAAGCTTACCAGTCACTCTTGGAAACCCTATTCAGGGTTGCTATGAGTCGGAAACAACTCGATGGCACTTAACAACAACAACATATGAGTCTGTAGGATAAGGACTGGATCTCAAGGTCAGTTTGAACTGTACGGTTGGCAGTTCAAATCCACAAGTCGGAAACCCTATACAGCAGAGCTGGGGAACCTTTTTTTCTGCCAAAATTTATAACATCATTCGTGGGGTATACAAAATCATGAACTTAAAAGTTAGTGTGCTATATTTGGTCAAACATTTAACTCATCCCTAATGTGATGGCTGTGGAGTGCTGGTGTGGTGCTGTGGGTTAATGCGCCAGACTGCAAAGCGGTTTGAACTGCAAAGTCGGCGGTTCAAGCTCACCAGCTGCTTCTCAGAAACCCTAAACAGTGTCGCTATGGGTTGGAACCAACTTGACAGCACTTATCAACAACAACAATGTGATGGCTGGAACTGTGGTTGCCTTGGTAGAGCCAGAGCAAATGATTTCAAGGGCATTACAGGGCCCCCTGCGCAGACATTCCCCACCTCTGCTATATAGGATTATTGGGGTCAATGGCAGTTAGTAACAACATACTTGTACATTTATTTGTCTGACTTACTTTTGTTATCCCCACTAGAAGTCCATGAGAGCAGGGACTTTGTCTTTGTTCAGACATTGCTGATACTGGTATTTTGTGTTTTCTCTTTTTTTCCCTTGACTTATCTAACAAAAGAAGTCAGATGGTTAAGCACTGGGCTACTCATCCAAAGATGGTGTTGGAGTCCACTGAGAGGTTACTGATGATCTACTCTTCAAAATGTCACAGCCACTGAAAACCATTTCTACTATGACATACCATAAGTTCTACCACTTGCCTGGCAGTTTATTGTACAATGCTGGTTTGTATGTTGCTGTGATGCGGGAAGCTATGCCACTGGTATTTTAAATACCAACAGGGTCATCCATGGTGGACAGGTTTCAAATCACCTTCCAACCTAAGAGACTTTGTTGTTATTGTTAAATGCCATCAAGTTGGTTCCAATCCATAGTGACCCTGTATAGGGTTTCCAAAAAGTGGCTGGTGAACTTGAACCACTGACCTTGCAGTTCAAATTGACTATGTTGTCCAGCGCATTAACCCACAGTGCCACTAGGAAGAAGGAAGGGCAGACAACTTTAGAATGTTTAGTCACTGACAATCGTGTGAATTGGAACAAGATCAGATAGCACAGGAATATTGAAATTACAACATAATGAATAGTACAAGAATATTGTCAGATATAGTTCCAGAAGATGAGCCCCTCAGGTTGGAAGGCACTCAAAATACAGCTGGGGAAGAGTAGCCTCCTCAAAGAGTTGTTAAGGTGATGAAGCAAATGGAGTAAAGCTATTGGGACCGGCATTTACTGATGAGGCACAACTGAAAATGAGGAGAAACAGCTGTAAACATTCACTAATAATTGGAACATGGAAATTACAACGAACCGAAGAAAATTGGAGCCTGTTGAAATGAAATGAAACTGATAAAGATCAGCATCCTAGATATTTTGTTGTGTGTTAAGTGCTGTTGAGTCAGATCATAGTGACCCTATAGATAGCGGCTCCAAGTAACAGCTGGTAGGTTTGAACTGCCGAACTTGTGGTACACAGTCCACTGCAGATCCTACAGCACCACACCAGCTAAAATGGACTAGTACTGGTCAATTTGAACCTGGCAATCACTTGGATTATTATGCTGGGGATGACAAATTGAGGAGGAATGGTGTCACTTTCATCATCAAAAAGAACATTTCAAGATCTATGTTGAAGTATAATGCTGTCTGTGATAGGTTACTATCCATATGCCTACAAGGAAGACCAGTTAATATCACTGTTGTTCAAATTTATGCACCAACGACTAAAGCCAGTGGTGATGAAATTGAAGAATTCTACCAACTTTTCAGTCTGAAATTGATCTAACGTGCAATGCAGATGTATTGATAATTACTGATGATTGGAATGCAAAGGCTGAAAACAAAGAGGAAGGATCGTAGTTGGAAAATATGGCTTTGGTGATACAAATGATGTTAGAGTCACATGATACAATTTTGCAAGATCAGTGATATTTTTATTACAAATAACTTTTTTTTTTTAAAGTTTTCATTGTGAATTGAGTGATAGTTTACATGGGAGAACATCAACTTTATATTCATCCTATCGTATTTCATTTCATTGCAATGATTACAATCCCCTCAATGCATCATCATTCAACAGCATTTGCTTCCATTTCCTCTGTTTTTTTGTTTTTTTATTGATTGGTTGGTCTGTTTGTTTGTTTGGATGTACAAACAAAGCACTCAGGAATACATAACCATTCAAACAACTAAAGGATACACCCTGCAGCCCTGGCCCCAGCCATCAGCCTCTCTCCCTCCCTGAGTCCAGAGATCCCAACTGCTCCATCTCTCCATGTCACCATCTCTGCCTTCATTGCTGGTGTCACTGCTTCTCTGGATAGAGTCCCGCTGCAAATTACTTTTAAAAAGATGACTATATTTTTTATCATCAGATGTAATAAACAGAAATCAAATCGACCAAATCTATGGAAATAGATGGTAGAAAATCTCCATATCATCAGCCAAAATAGGCCAGGGGCAGACTGTGGAACAGACCATCAACTGCTCATATGCAAGTCCTAACTAAAGCTGAAGAAAATTAAAACAAGTCCATAAGAGCCAAAATATGACCTTGAACATATCCCCCCTAAACTTAGAGATCATCTCAAATACATATTTGATGAATTAGACATGAATGACAGAAAACCAGAAAAGTTGTGGGCTAACATCAGGAACATCATACAGGAAGAAAGCAAAAGGACGTTAAGAAGACAAGAAAGAAGGAAAAGACCAAAATGGATGTCAGAAGAGAATCTGAAACTTGCTCTCTAACATAGTGATGCTAAAGCAATGGAAGAATATAGTTCAGCAATATTCCTGAGTGCTTTGGAATGGAAGAAATGAGGTAAAAGAGTTGAACAGAAAATTTCAAAGCTCAGCTTAATAAGACAAAGTCAAATATTATAACAAAACATGCAAAGACCAAAAGGTTTCCTCAAATTGAGGGAACTGGAAAAAAAAAAATTCAAGCCACCACTTGAAATATTGGAAGAATCTATGGGTAGGATATTGCATGCTGCAGAAAGTATCAAAAGAAGATGGAAGGCATAAACAGAGTCACTGCACCAAAAAGAAATGGTCGTTGTTCAACCATTTCAAGAGGTAGCATAAGATCAACAGCCAGTGATACTGAAGGAAGAAGTCCAAGGTACATTGAGGGTATTGACAAAGAACAAGGCTCCAGGAATTGATGGAATACAAATTGAAATCTTTCAACATACTGAGGTAAGACTGGAGACACTCACTTATCTACACCAAGAAATTTGGAACACAATTACCTGGCCAACTGATTGGAAGAAATCCATATCTGTGCCATTCTAAAGTCCTGGTGTGGCGCTGTGGGCTAATGCGTCAGAATGCATTAATTTCATTGGAACTGCAAGGTAGGTGGTTCAAGTTCACCAGCTGCTCCTTGGAAACCCTGTACAGGGTCATTATGGATCGGAATCGACTGGACAGCACTTAACAACAACAATAACAAAGAGAGGTGACCCAATGATATGCAGAAATCATCCGA